TACCTTAATTTTTACAACGATTGGGGTGGTACTGGGGTGAACTGGTCCACTACTGGAATTTACATACTCTAGAAACTATTTTGTACACATGGTAAGTCCAAAAGTTACCCGCCATTTTTTATTTTTTTCCGTGTCAGAAAGGCTGATGTGGCCCATATACGAATTTGTCTTGCATATTGACATTTCATAAACTATTTCCTACAAAATCCATAACACCAAAAATTAAGAAAGAATATGAACTATAACTTATATTTGCATCGGCATCGGGGGGGGGGGGTGCGTACTACAGAGATTAAAACTGGCCTCTTGTCCCTTGTTCCACTTATATTCGACGTCGTTTTTTTAAGAGTTTAGCAAATGGGGATGCTAACTTGACATAGTCTTCAGTGAAAGAGCGGTAGTATCCTTATAATCCCAGGAAACTACGTTGTTGAGCTGCATTCTTAGAACAAGGAAAAGGCTGCACTTACAACTTCCGGTGTGTATACCTTTGCCATGCACTGTGTCTTAGATATTGGGTTCTGGATTTAAGAAATTCTCACTTGGAAAGTTTTATTTTAAATCCAGCTGTTTGTAGCTTTGTGAGGACTTCACATAGTTTCTTTAAATGGCTTTTTAAATATTTCCTCACATATTATAAGATCATCTTGATAGGCATAAACTGTATGTGTATAGCCAATCATAATGGCAAATAAAGTATTTCTCATTCTTTGGAATATTAAAAGTGCATTCCTTAAGCCAAATGGCATTCTTAGGAATTCAAAGTGTCCCTTGGGTGTACTGAATGCAGTTACCTCACAAGATTCTTCAGCTAAGGGAAGATCTAGGTTACTGAAGAAGGCATTGTCAGTTAGGACAGGCATTGGAAACCTGTCTGGTAAAATTGCTTGGTTGAATCGTCTGAATTCCATCACTGGTTACCAACTTCCAACTTTCTTGGGAACCAAAAATAGAGGCGAGTTCCATGGTGATGAGGAAGGTTGGTTATGGATATTGATACTGAAACAGTTTATTTAGCCAGAAGAATACAGATACAGAGTGTACAATGATAACAATAATGACATGGCTGAGCCAATTGTGAGCCTGAGCTCTCTTGGAGGTACCTGATATTTGCTGTATATTTATCTTAAGGAATTATTATATATCATTTAGTATCATTTGGATTAGTACACATAACTTAGTGTTAGTAAATACATATGAGAATGTTACCTCAGTTATCACGTTTAATTTATTTATTTTTATTTAATATTTTTTTATTTATATTAAAAGTATATACATATTATGCAGTGGAGTTGATATACAGTAATCTGTGAGGGAAGCAATACAACATGGGGTTGTGTTAAGGTGAAACAAGGGGACAGACAAGCATATAATTATTGCAATGGTAATTTCTACGTGACAATATATGATGTAATGGATTTGATGATAAAGTAAAAGTAAAAATATAAAAGTGTTACAAAAATATTAATAATTGGACTTAAGAGATGATTTAAAGGAAGGGAGCGTAGTCATTACTCGGGTGGGTGGTGGTAAGTTGTTCCAAACCTTCACACCATTATATTTTATCAAGTGATTGACACATTTATAAACAAATATAGCACAGCGGTAAGTGTTAATATCCTCTAATTTTAATATTATCAATTTAGCAAATTGTTCGTCTGTGTGATCAGTTTTCAGTTTTGTTTTCATGTAGGTCATTGTCTGCACAACTTCTTCTGGGAAGTAATTAGGGGTTGTGTCTTCGGGGAGCTGGAGGCCCCCCATAGTGTATGACAGTGAATCTTTGGATATTTTTTTAATGGTTAATACAGGGGGTAATTCGTTTGCCGTTATGGTCAAATTTCTTGGCTCAACGTTGATGTTAGTTTGCTCTAGTGTGGAAAGACCGAGCAGCCCATCCGCTGGCAAGGAGAATGCCTATATTATATAGAGAAGCTTTGCTGGACCTAGAAACTTGACTAGCAATGTTCTCACCTCCGCTACATCTAATTGTATCCCTGACACACCAAACAGAGGAATTTCTTTAGGTCTTACTAGTAACTTATATGGAAGACACATACCCTCCTCGTTGGTACAGTCAACACCTCCATCTAGTTTATTGAGGTGATTACTGAGCCTGTGATGGAAGTGTTGTTTTCTTGAACCTTTGACACTATCCTAGATCATGTTGCTGGAAGCGTTCATCTTCCCCCGAAGGCTGACGACGTGCCTCCCATCGTTCTGTGTACTCTTGCTGTTGCCACTGTATGCCTTTGCAGTCTTCAGTATTATTTTGAGTGTCCTTGGTGTTTGGAGGCATTTCATTCATTTGTCTTGGGGGCTAACCTGAGCTAGCGTATTATCCTTGAGGACTTTTAGGATTAGTAGTAGAGTCTAGATACTTAGTATCCGGGGAGAATACTTTCACTTGATCTTGCTTTGGGCGAGATGGGGATTTTTCTCTTTATTCTCTTTACCAACAATTATCTGTTGTATGTCCCTTTCGTTTACTGATCTTGCAGAAAGGTGCCTTGT